TATGATGTATAAAGGACATTATGTAATATGATTTTAAACATTGTAGGTACAAGTAATGGTGGAGCTTTTTGCTTGAAATACAGGAATTATTATAATAAGTTAGTTTCAAATTGCAGCTTATGGTATGTTCTAGTTCAGCTTCAGAGTTCTGTTATCCGTTTTAGGAATATAATGATCATATGTGCCTTGAAGAGGCATTTGTCTGTCCTGGATTTCTTGAAGTTGGGTTGGGGTGGAAATGATATCGTAAATCTGGTGCCAGGGTGTCTACCCCATGGAAAGCAGAATAAATAGTTTTTTTTTAAAATTAGACGCAAGTAGTATGAGTGGGTGGAGTTAGCTCAGAGACCCGGGTTTTCGTTTTGCTTTCAATGGTCAAAGTTGGGGGTTTTGGAGTTGAAGCTGCTAGAAACAGCTCTGTCTGCCGCAAAAAGCTTGTTCTTTCTCTGCTGTTAGATTCAGTCTGTCGATGTTCGTTCTCCTGGACTGGAGGAGATAGCAAGTGAGGGAAATCTGTTTTGCAGAATTTCCATTTGCCACGGATGTATTTATGGAATGCAGTTATATTGGAACAATTAAATACTTCGATAGAGATAAAGTTCTGCCAATTTTTTTTTTGTATATTAAGTGTGGTGAAAGAATAAAGCGTGTTTTGCTTAAAGTCTAGGAGTTTGACTAAGTGAATCATATCTGGAAAGCAGTGCCTTAGACTTGCCTCAAAGTAAGATAAAAGTTAGAGTCCAGGCTATCCCCCTTGATATGTTTTGAAGGAGTTTGTCTAGTCCATAACAGTAGAGAAAGCAATTATTTTTGATGGAGAAAATTTTTTTGCTGAAGTTATTGTTGAAACTTTAAATTTAATTTTCACTTGGGTTAAGTTGTTTTGTTTTTTTAAAAAATTTTATATTTAACCATGAAGGTTAGAGTCGCATCTATTTGTAGCAATGTGATGAGAAGCTGCATTCATTAGATATTGGATGCTGCACAATATGCAGCAGTTCTGTCCTTGTAAAGCAGCAGATAATGTGATATTTACCATAAACAAAGGCTCGGGATGAATCTACTAACGTGTTTGTTGTCCCTGATTTTAATCTCTCCTCTATTGGTGACCATGTCTTCATTAAAGGGCAGGTGATGG